TTCGTTTAACGTCGCGTCAGCGTAGGTGGAAAAACGGGGCTCCAAATTGAAAGACGATTCGAACAGCAAATTCCAACAGCAGCAGCAGCAGCAACGTTTTGCTTTAGCTTCAGCCAGAGAATTTTATTCACACATTTAATGCATGCCGCACGGCATAGGCAACGTAATTTCCTCAATTTCCCAATTGGTCTTAATTTCAACAGCACAAATTTGTCAAATCAATAGTAAATTTTTACACGAAATTTTCGCAAACTGTTGTGCACTGTGGTGGCACTATCATCGATATTAGTACCTAGAGATTGCGATGGTCGATTAGTGCGTACCCGTGACTAATCAAGAGTAACGAATACTTAGAGATTTCACGATATGTGCTCTGCAATCTAATAAATGAGATACTCGATTAGTCTGCTTGAGAATAAAGTATATTTTAGAATGCATATGTGTGGATAGCTAATCTTATTTAAACATCGCTAGATTATACATTTTGAAATATATAAGAGATTTCCATTCAATTGACTGAACTTGCAATGAGCCGTGAGATCGAATTGGTATTAAAACTATTTTCCGGTATGTCGTCCATCGTCCATCGCTATCGACTACATCGATAACAGCAAAGTTTGTTATTGTCCGTCTAGGCGATTGCAACGCAATTTAGTGTTTAAATTTTTTAACAAAGACTTTTAGTGCCTAAACAGAGCCATAGATTTAGAGTTTTATATATTAAATTAGTTGAACATGTTCTCACGCAAAAGGCCAGAGCCACCGAAGCGCCGACAGCATGATTTGTCACAGGTATGAAACAAAAACAAGCATCTATATTTTGTCTATTTAGAAATATGAGTCATTGACTTCCCTCTCCTCTTGCTTGGCCACAAATAGTTTGGCCTGACGGAAATACCAGATGACTTTGATCCCAGCGCTGGCTATGGTGATGACAGCGGCGATAGCGACTTGGAGGCTGAACTTGCGGCTATTGCCGGCGGCGGTGGTCCAAAGCCCAAAGAGAAGGTCAAGCCAAAATTGTTGCCTAGCAGCGAATTAGATAAAATGATTGCAGACAGCCTGCGTGATGTCAGCGATGATGATGATGATGAGGCATTGGAGAACGACAGCGATTTACTTGGCGAGCTGCATGGAATAACAGGCGTAGAAGAGGAGGAGGAGGAGAAAACACAGCCAGCTCCCGCTGCTGCGCCCGTTGAGGAAGCAGAACTCATGCAGACCTTTCTGCCCACTACAACAGTTGATACATTGTCTATAATCAAGCAGCGCATAGAGATGTATAAACAAGCAGAGGCGAATGCGAAAGCTGCCGGTGAATCTGGCAAGGCTCGACGCTTTGCCAGGGGCTTGAAAACACTGCAGGATTTGCTGAAGCAGTCGTCGGCAGGCAAAAGCATTAATGTTGATGACATTCCGCCAGAGGTGAGCGTCAAGGCGGCTGGTGGAGGGGGAGGAGGAGCGTCTGTAGTATCTGTAGCCCAGCCTGAGGAGCCAGAGCAACCAAAGCTGCCCATTCGTTCCGCACCAGCGCCACCCACGCCGAGCACACCGCCGGCACCACGCACGCCGAGCACACCTCCAGCACCGCCCACCCCAAGCACACCTCCAGCCACAACAGCAGCTGCATCTGAGACGCCCGTCAACCCTCTGATATCTCAAATGCGCAGTCGTCAAAGCGAGTATAAAGCAGCCGCAGTGCAGGCCAAACGCAGTGGCGATACTGCTTCGGCTCTGCAATTTTTACGCGTGGTCAAGCAATTCGATGTGGTAGTGAAGATGTGCGAGGATGGCCAGGAGGTAGATCTAAGCGATATGCCGCCACCTCCGGCGGAGTTTCTAGCATTCATGGCGAAGATGCAGGAGGGAGCAGCAGCAGCAACAGAATCCGAACCAGCGTCTGCACCAGCTTCAGCTCCAGCTCCAGCTCCTGCTGCTCCTCCAGTACCAGCAGCTGCAACAGAAGCCACAACCATGTTGGAAGCATTGCAGCAGCGTTTGGCCAAATACAAGTCTGTGGAGGAGTCAGCCAAAGCGGAGAACAATACAAGCAAAGCGCGTCGCTTTGGACGCATTGTCAAACAGTACGAGGATGCAATAAAGCAATACAAGGCTGGCCGACCTGTGGCTTACGATGAGTTGCCAGTGCCACCGGGCTTTGGTCCATTGCCCATAAGTGAGCCAGCTCCAGCAGCAGCTGCAGCTGCACCGGATCCAACACCTCCCACATCGCCAACCACAGCGAGCACTACACCCGGCAGTTCTGCCTCAGCGACGCCCACAACGGCAAGAAAAGCGCCAACGCCACCACAACCGAAGGAGTTAACGACACGCACCTCCGGAAATCATCAGAAAAGCAATCTAGCTGAGCAACAAATGAAATTATTGCTCGAGCGCCAAAGGGAGTTTAAACTGGCGGCCCTAGCCGCAAAGAAAGCGGGCGAGATCGATCAAGCCAAGGAATATCTAAAGATCTTCAAAGGCTTCGATTCGTTGCTGAATGCGGCAAGCAGCGGCCTGCCCGTGGATCTCAGCACCGTAAGTCGACCAGGCGTTAAATTTAATTTTTATTATATTATTTATATGTTTTCCTATTTATAGCTACCTGTTCCACCCTCTCAACGCGACAATTTGGAGGCATCCTTCGCCATTGTTTCAACTGAGGAATGTGATCCAAACGATGACATATGCGAGATTGGTGTGCGCATCGAGGAGCAGCTGGCCAAGCAGTTGATGATGTGCAAGAACACACGGGATCATCACAAAGCCATGGGCGATATAGCCGGCATGAATCGCTTTGAGAATCTCGCATTGACTGTTCAGAAGGATTTGGATCTGGTGCGCTATTCGAAGCGCAAGAATCTAACACTGCCGAAATTCCATTATGAGAAGCGTTCCTTTAACATTGTCCATTGCAACACGGATCTGACGGACAACGAACTCGAAATAGTTGTTGTAAGAGGCATCAATTACAATGTAGCCAATCCCAAGGATGTGGACACCTATGTTCGAGTAGAATTTCCGCTGTTGAATGTAAATTTTAAACTATTAATGTCCACATGTTCACATTTCTTAATAATATTATTTGCTACTACAGGATGAAGCTTTCAGAGCGAAAACGAATGTGATCAAGGACACAGACAGTCCGGACTACGATGAACGCTTTAAGGTGGAAATTCAGCGCGGAAATCGTCAATTTCAACGTATCTTTAGAAGACATGGCGTTAAGTTCGAGATCTATTCAAGGGGGTGAGTTGAAAAGCTTTCTGTTATTTATATCGAACATAATATTGAGCACTATATAATAACTATTAAATCATACTAAAGCCTAATGCATTTGCTTATCAATTAACCAAGGTGAAGCGAGAAAAAACCAAGTTGAAATTCATTCAGCTTCAGCAAAAATAAGTTGCACTCGAGATTTACCACTAATATACATATGCTCCACATCTAGGCTTAAAGCTGTAGCGTTGATTTTTCCTATAATCCCTAGACTTCTAAAAATTCTATTCTCCACTAACTAAATTTCAGTCAGTAGTAGTTGCATACAAAACATTTTTGTAAACTTGATTTCTAGACTTTGTACAAATAAGATTAGAATTATGAATGCATTTGTAGACTTTCAGTAGATATTAAAATACATTGAGATTAGCCTATATTTTAAAATTTTGTTCCAATATAGTTCTTTCAATTAAATACCATTTGCCCACCAAAGTAGTAAAGCAATACTAAACTTTATGTTTTTCAATGCTTTCAATTATATTTACTTGCGTTTTAGAAGTACACTGTATTTGCATTTGTGTATTCACGTAAAAGTATAATTTGTATTAGATTTTGTTCTTCATTTGATTGGGAAGTTCTGATTAGAATGCCTATCTTGCATTTATTATTTTTTGGTATTTTTGTGTGCATTTCTGTAAACAGTATCCTGTCGGTTTTCTTATAAACCAATGTTTAACAGTGTCTGTTATTAACATAACGTGGACGCAACAGGTGATAAGGTTTAAAAAGATTACTTAATTTTTACCGAAAAAAAGTTTCTGTAAACATTTATTATTTTCGTAGAGCTTTGCCAAGATTTGAGTTCGCCTTCCACATTTTCATTGATTCAAAACATTGAATTCCCATAAGTCAAATGATTTTAATAAAAAAAATAATGTTTTACGAACTCTTACGCCACAAATTCCATTCCAATCGCGCAATGCTACGCTCAATGCTAAAAAATAAACAAATAAATAAATAAATAGCTGCAGTATTGATTGTTGTGGACTAAGTCGTAAACTGCCCATATGTTGTTTCAGAGGATTTCTACGATCCGATGTATTGATTGGCACAGTAAATGTGAAGTTGCAGCAGTTGGAAACCAAGTGCGATATACACGATACCTTCGATGTGAGTTAACTTTATTATATATATTTTTCAACTAAAGTTGACCTACTTTATATTCAGCTAATGGATGGGCGCAAACATGTGGGCGGTAAGCTGGAGGTCAAGGTTCGTGTACGAAATCCCATATTGACTAAACAAATGGAGCACATCGACGAGAAATGGCTAGTCCTGGATGCCGAAGCCTGAAAAGGGATTTATCTCATGAGACATACGATCATCACACACAAGCCTGGTCATTATTCTCTATATATATAATATCTGGTACTTTAATACAACAACAAAAGTTTGATGTGTTTATTGCTTTCACACACACCCACATACACATTACGTACTATATATGTGTATACATATATATATTTGTATAAATCTTTTATGTATATGAGATATTTGTATATGAAGCAAGGCGCTGTCGTTGCTATGAAGAAAATTGTTGTGCCCCAATTATGTACGAGGGTTCTCTAAAAAATTGCCGTCTTTCAAATGAAATATTTGAAAATTTTTTAAATAAAATTTATAAATTGTCATTAAATAAAAGATACAAGTTAATTCCTTTCAATTGCTATATATATATTTTTACCCGTCAAACAAGAAATATTTAAACAATTTAAAAATACATTTGCTGTGAAAACATTATAAAATCTATATATGTAAATTATCGTTTTTAAAAATAACATAAGACAAAACAAGATCGGCAATTTTCCTGAGTTCCTTGTAAAGAGTTCTAAGCCAAAATAATTGAAGGGAAATTTTAGTATGATTGAACAGCGCGCGCCTTGTGGCCAAGGAAAGCCTGATTATGTTTCAACTAATATATGCACGATATGTTATTACTATATATGTATAGATATATATGTATATGTTTTTGTTAAAGTTGTTTGCTAAATTATAACTCCAGATATTCGACTATTTGGGAAAAGGCGCTGTGCTCATTGAAAACATCCACGCCGCGCACCTTGTAGAAACCTGCAAAGGGAAATAGTAAATGCAATTACCTATAGATCGTATATGTGTATAAATCTTACCATTCACGCTGTTATTCTCGCCCGGCGCATATTGAAAAGATGGATACGGCAGATGCCAGCCCTGCGAGATGTGCAGCCAGTCGGAGCCAGCACGCTCTCTGAACCAAACCTCGTAGCTCTTCAGGCATTGGGTGGATCGCGCTTGTTCGCTCCACCTGATGAACACCTCACTCTTGGTCACCTCCACGATTTCCAGTTGTTGGGGTCGCTTCAGCTTCGGCCAGGCTGCCGAGCAGACGCGCAGCAGCATCAACCAAGGCAGCGGCAGGTGGGCGGAGTTGACAACCAGTTCGCTATTGTACTGCCAAATCGGACCCGTTTCGTAGAGCCTCGGCGTTTGCGCCCTTCTCATAGCCTCCCTTAATGTGGCGTTCGGATATGCTGGACTGCCTGCCTGCTGCCACACATGGGCGGGATCTGTGCTGTGCGGCACCAGCAGCTCGGTAATGAACGCCGATTCGTTGGCAATGGACATATTCAGAGTGTATTTGTGATGGTAGGCCGTTAGCTGTGGGCCCGCCTGCTCCGGACTGAGGAATATGGTGGCCATGTACTGGGCCGCACCGTTGCCTGAGATGCTGCGCAACACCTGCACGCTGTGCTTGCTATCCATGTTGACCACCTCCAGGTCGGCGGCCCGTGTGCCCAACTTGGCCAGCATGCCAAGCGCGGCATAGACGGGCTTCTGCACAAACTGCGAATGCGGTGGGTTCGTCTCATTCATGCGAAAGTGCGCCAAAAGGGTGCTGAAAGGATTAGTACAGGATTTTTTAAATTTATATGGGAAAGTGTTTGCAGTTCCTCTAAGGCTAAATAATAAAACTCTTTCAATATTAATATGATTTAAATAATTATCATATTGGTAAAGAATTATTATCCTAACAATGATTGGGATGACGATAGTTTAATATGTTTTTTATTCATTTAAATACTATGTTAATTATCATTCTCATATCGTTATCATAACTGCTATCATACCTTCATTATAATTATTTTATTGTTAATATTCAGAATAACATGATCATCATAATAAATACAATAAAAAATAAAATAATTTTAAAAAAATATATAATTAACCCTATTACTTAATATTAAAATATCTAGCTACAGAAGACACTGAACACAATCGAACCGCTGGAAGACTGCGCCTATCTGACTAAAAGCTGCACCAAGAGACTCTTTTATATCCTCAAATTCCACTCAATAAGCTAGTACCTGAGCGCGATTAGTGAGTAACGGAGTGCAATTGAGATGTGAGTTGAGAAGTTAACATATAGAGATGACAATCCAGATGAGATAGGCAAACGGAGAGCGGGTACTAGCTGACTTGAGTCAACTAATTTTAGTGATCAATATACACACATACATATGTAGATAAGTGGGTGTTAATATTTAGAGCTACTTGTGGCACCCACTCTTCTCTTATACGTTCAGGATTAGGCAATATACATATATTTTTAGTCATTTCAATAACTGAACCTAGTTCTACTCACCGCTGGCTAAATTCGTATGGATGATAGCTTAGAAATGCATTGTCATGGCTAAGGGATTCCAGTTGGGCCAAAACGCCGCCCTCGAGCTTCGCCTGCCAGTGTTGCATAACAGTGGCGATTAGGGTTGCCGCATAACGCACATCCGACTGGAAGTCGCGGGGTGTGTCCCAGCCTGCAATGGGATCTGCCTCGCTGAAAACGGAAGAAGGTAGAGTCCACGATGTCATAGATTGAAATTTGGTTACACTTACTCATTGGCCACCGGCAGCTGCTGCAGCTGTGGATAATCGTGATAGATCTTCGTGAGCAGCGCTAGGGAACCATTTAGAATCTCTTGGGCGCTGCCATCAAGACCCTTGCGATGATAGCTGAGTATATCGATGGGACACTTGGCCAGCTGCTGATTGCACACCTCCAAGAGCTCCCAACACAGAGGATGACGCTGCTCCGATTTAAAGAGGCCAGCGGGTCCACGCAAGGCACGATAGAGCTGCTTGGATTTGCGCCTGCCGCCCGCTTTGCTCAGTCCACGCCTTACGGCTTGAACGTACTCCAAATAGGAAGCGGAAGTGAAGTTGATGCGATTATAATTGAGCAGATCCGGTTCGTTCCAGGTTTCATAGCGCCAGCTGGAAAGACGAGTTGCGCCATGGCGAGCTGAAGGTGGGAACGAGATGAGGAGAAATCGGGAAGAATTCGATGTATAGTTAAACCACTTGCTCACCCAGTTGATGATTGATAATGCTCTTGACAAAGTTCTCCCAAAGGAACCAGTTCCGTTCGGGATTCGCCGTGAACACATCACCGGGATTGGCCATGAATTCCAGCACGGGCGACATATGCAGCTCCTGCAACAAGTCCACAAATCTATCGAACTTCTCATAGTCATATTGTGGCACACCCTCCGTGCTGTACTCCAGGAACTGCACCAGCTCAAGCAGCCAATGGATGCGTATGTGTGTAATAGCTCCAATTGGCAAAGCTCCAATCAGACGCAGGTGCAACTGCATTGAGGGCGACTCGAGAGCTGCGCTAATGCCGTTATAATTGATATCGCCAGCTGGACAGAAGCCAACGCCGGTCCAGAAGTGGGGCAATGGATGATAGACGACATCACTGCTGGTATAGTGGGCGTGGCTGGGCAGCTCAGTCAGCGGCAACAGCAGCAGCAACAGCCGCCACATTGCGTTGCCTACTCAAATGAAAATTACAAAATTAGTTATTAATTATTTTTCGATTAATTTTGTTTTGTTGATTATATTGTGCGTTGATTTGCTGATGATGTGTTGATAAGAGCTGCGCCCCTTGCACAGTGTTTCTGTATCTGTTGCCTTTGGCCGTTGACCACGGCCTTGTCGTGACGTCACAAGCAGAGGCAGAGGCAGCGGCAGAAGCAGCGCGGCGACAGAGCGGCAACGTAAACGGCAAACGTAGAGACAGCAACAACAACAAACAGCAGCAGCAGAGACAGAGGCAGAGCAGCGGCACAACAGAGCGACAGCAAAGCAACAGCGTGCCAGTTTCACAGTTAATCCCCTTTTCGTATGAAAGAGCAGAAAAGGAAGACGGCAAAAAAATGGGGGGAAAAAAACATTTTGCCGGCGCGCCGCATTGATTGAGCATTGCAATGGCTCTCATTAGGGGTGGAAAAAATGTGCCGAACCGTCACTTGGCACTGGCAGGCACGAGGCGTTTGTATCTACATCGCATCTCTTCTGCTCGCCCTCATTTTGGGGGAGTGCAAGGTGTGACAAATAATACGTGTTTTATGATTGTGTGCGGGTGATAATACGCGCAGCAATTACATGCCATATTCGAGGGTAAGTTATTGCAGTTATGTATAGAGATATTAAATGCTCACAAGGATTTACACGTAGTTAAGAGCAGCGTAGCAAAAGGTGAAAGTGGATAACGAGAATTTATGAGTTTTAAATTAATTCGACTGAGGGGAGCTGAGTCTAATTAATTTCAATTGTCCTTAAGCTTCATCTAAGACTATCAGATTATAGAGCTGTTTTATGTTTACTTAATTTAGCTTGGATCAAAAATATTGGTGCTTAACTTAGATAAATTTTGGTAGCTTTTCAGACTAATTCATATTTATTAAAATGATTTTCGAATGATTTCCTATATAGAAATAAAAAATCAAATTTAAATCTGAATGAAAATGTTCTAAAATTAAAACTAAATTTTTTTTTAATAATTCGTATACATATTATTTTACAAAAAAAAAGAAAAACGTTCAAGCATTTTAAAAATTTTTTTCCCATTTCTTACATTTTGATATATGTACATAGATTCAATTTATAGAATGCCGGAATATGAAGAGAGCTCAATCGATAAATATCGATTTCTATGATACATACCATATCGTAAAATGATAGCCACGTTTGCGTTTATGGAGAAGTTATTTGTATATAATGAGGGACGATTTGCTGTAATGGAACCATTAGATGGTAATGCGAGCTGAGCTCAAGCACCAAATATGCCTCCGGGCATATACAGCAGCTCGACTCCATTTCAATTCACAGTTGAATTTTTAAGCTTTAGCCATGAAGATCCTGAAGGATTTGGAAGGCGTGGCCAGACCCACGCAACTGTGTGCCCTGTTGCCCTTCTTCAATGGCAATCAGTCGGACAATTTCAGCATTAATTCGGCGGGCAAAATTTATGGACGCGTTATGGCCCTGATCCTGCTGGTCAGCTCGGTCTTTTTCTGCCATGATGTACTGTTCGCATCAGAGAATTACAAGCTAATGGTCCATTCACAGGGTGAGACGGAAGACATCAATAGAACCATTGAGACGCTATTCTGCATAGTTAGCTATACGATAATTGTGGTATCCAGTGTTTTGAATACCTCTAAACATTTTCGCACCTTACGTGATCTATCCCTGCTGGATGGGTATCTCGAGGCACATGGCTATACGAGCAGCTATAGCTGTCGATATCTGGGCAGCCTGTTGATCTTCGTCTCGGCGAGCGTTGTGGTCGTCGCCTTCTACTACATACATTTTCTGAGCAACATCGACGTAAAGAGGCAGTGCATCCTAATGTGCATCTATGGCCTGCAGATGCTTTACTCCTGCGTGTTTGCCATCTATCTGCGCACCGTACTCATGTGTCTGGCATTGAGAATTGAGTTCCTGAACGCACGACTCGAACAGTTCACACAGAAGGATCGAGAGCAATATCTGAAGGATGATTGGTGTGAATTATCAAATCTTATCGAGATTCTCTGCAAATTCCGTTACATTACGGAGAACATGAATTCGGTAACGGGCGTTGCATTGCTCTTCTTCTTCGGCTTCTCCTTCTACACGGTAACCAATCAGAGCTATTTGGCCTTCTCTACGTTGACAACGCCCGACCAGCTGCGCAAGGAGCACGACACAATAGGCTTGTCCTGCGCCTGGGTCATCGCAGAAACAGCCATAATGGCAGTCATTTGCAGTTCCTTCGATTGCCTGGCCTCCGAGGTGAGTATATAGTCATGAATGTTTAATTTAGAGTACTTGAATATACACATGTATATAGATTGTACTTAGATATAGACTTCGATTTAGAATAGATTTAGAGTTCGCTTAAAATAAATACGATTGGTTAGTTCGAATATGTACCAGATATAAATATTCATGTTCAGAGTCTTTATATTTTTGCTTAGTTCATATTTTACATTGGTATGAATACTTTTTATTTACTCATGAGTATATTCGTGAATGTATTCTATTCAGGATTTTATTTACATATATTAATGAGTGCATTCATACAGTTATATATTTTTTTCTCTTCAAACAAGCCATTCAAAATTATTTATAAATATATATATAAAATTTTCCATGAGTTTACTCATAACTAATAAGTGATTTTACAAAAGATTTAAGAGTGTATTCACAAATATTAAAACGAACACCACATTCGCTTCGATTGGATTCCAAAATTTCACGAGTGCACTCATAATGAATTAAGAATTCATTCACTGTCATTCATATGTATACATAATGCATATTGCTGTACATATATTGAATTTCCTATCCCAATTGGCGTTGACATGCAAAATAATTACCTTAATGGACTCCTGTTTGTCCGTTGCCTGAGTTACCCGTTTGATAAGCCTTTGAAATTCGAATCAAGATACGGCAGAGTGCGTTTCAATCGCTGTTCCACTTGGCCATTGCGCAGCTAGTTAGCCATATTACACATTTTATTGACAGTTGGCCGTTGGCAATGTGTCCCAACAGTTGGGTAATTGAAATGGCATCGCACAAGGAGCTAATGCATCCACAGTTGAATCCGCGCCGGATCAGACCGGTGAATCAGGCATTCGTGAGACCAACGCGGGGTACTACTACTCTGCCAACGAATCCCGTTTTCGCGGATCTTCAGACCATATTATCCGTATTGAAGGCGACTGGTCTGCTGCCCATCTATGAGCAGGTGTCCAGTTTTGAACTGGGCCCGCCCACCAAGCCGAATGAGTTCTATTCGTTCTTTGTGCGCGGTGTGGTGCACGCCTTGACCATCTTCAACATCTACAGCTTAATGACGCCCAATTCGGCCAAGCTGTTCATTTCGCTGAGGGAGACGGATAATGTGAACCAATGGATCGAACTGTTGCTCTGCATATTTACCTATACCCTAAGTGAGTTGAGAGCTGAGTAGAGCACAGAAGTGGTCCTCTCTAAACACACTCTTCTTCTTCTACATTCGTCCTTAGCCGTTTTCGTGTGTGCACGCAACACAAAGTCCATAATACAAGTCATGAACGAGATCCTCAAGCTGGACCAGGAGGTGCTGCGACAATTTGGTATCGCCTTAAGCAACCATTGCAATTTCTCTATCAAGTTTTTGGTCCTGATCGCTGCCTGTCAGGCGTACATCATCTTTCTACGTATTAAAGCCCTGAGTGGTGTTGTGTCGCCCACCACGTACATCCTGATTGGCTTCTACGCCATACAGAATGGACTGACAGCCACCTACATAGTCTTTGCCTCGGCTCTGCTGCGCATTGTTTGCATTCGATTTCAGTTTGTGAATCAACTGTTAAATGGATACGCCTACAATCAGCTGCTGGGCAAGAATCCTCGCCAGCTGCAGCTGCATATGGATAAGTTTCCCGAGGATTCGCTCTACATTTACCGCACCCACAATCGCCTATTGCGCATCTACAAGAGCATCAACGAGTGCTGCAGTTTGATTATCGTTTGCTTTCTCGGCTACTCCTTCTACACGGTGACCACCAATTGGTACAATCTCTTCGTGCAGATCACCAGCAACAAAGGCATCATCTCCACACACATCATGCAATGGTGCTTGGCCTGGCTATGCCTGCACACCTCGCTCCTAACTCTCCTGTCGCGCAGCTGCGGTGCAACGACCCACGAGGTGTGTTTACTCTTCTCCCAGCCAGGTTTACTCCATACTTCCTGCAAAGTAGCTCCAATTGTGATGTTAGTGCTTGAAAATAATCTACTCCGTTTATGCAGTAATCCAGTGAGCGCGATATTTTTTAGTTCATAATTTTTATTGAGCTTATCAATTAGTGCTGATCAATTTGGTTCAATTGTTCACAAGCTCAACCTTATTGAGCCGTTCATGCACAATTTTGAATGGAATAGCTGATCAAATCATGGCTATCCTTATTTATTGCAGGCTAATACTACCTCCCAGATACTAGCGCGCGTCTATGGCAAGAGCAAGGAGTTTCAAAATATCGTAAGTACCCACACTACCTCTCACTCCTATATCCATACTTAACAGTCTAACTACGTATCGAAACAGATTGACAAATTTCTAACCAAGAGCATTAAACAAGAGGTACAATTTACGGCATATGGTTTCTTTGCAATAGACAACTCCACACTCTTCAAGGTTAGCTATTCACTAATTTCTTATCGGTAATTTGAACCAAAATAACATTTCTCGCACTTTTATTCAGATATTTTCAGCGGTCACAACATATTTGGTTATTTTGATTCAATTCAAACAGTTGGAAGACTCGAAGTTGGAGGAACAAGAAGTAGTTTAAATTTCAATTTCTAGACTGTTTAATTTTATTAGCTATGTATTTATTATTATTACAAAATCTTACGTCAATTGAACTAACTGCATATATTGACTTATATATGTATATACTTATTAGTTCGACAAATCAAGCACACAAATACATGAACAGAAATGCATTATTAAAAGATTTTTTTTTTTTTTTTTTGTTGAAAGTAATTAAGAAACCGACGCTAGAGAACCCCACTTAAAGTTTTTAATACACTTATGCAGCACTAGCAAAGATCTAAAGTACTTACATACAAATTTAGGATAATCAAATTTGGGGGAAATGTTGACTCAAAATATACTTTTCCTGCTGCCTGGTATGTCTTGGCTCAAGTTAAGTGTGAGCAAGTGACTTAATATTTTGCTATTCAACTAACAGTTCAGGACTTTGGACTTTCGACGAGTTTCCCCAAACAGGAATGAACAGATGCGATCCAATGCAAAGGCGCCAACAATATCCACAATGAGTGCCATAAGCAACGTTTGACGGAACTGCAATTAAGCAATCGTAAATGTTAAAGCAAAAAATTTCCATATTGAAATTGTTAACATACATTGGCTGGAAAGTCGACGATTTCAAAGAATTGTGTCAAGCCGGGCACAACGCCTGTGGTGAGGAACAGCACCAAGGCAGCGGAGGCGCCAATGGCGCACATTAGCATTCGATTCGCACGCAGACTCTCCATAAACGGATGTCCCTGAAATTCAAAAATTGTATTAGTACCAAATGCGATAATCGATATTCGTTCAATCGTTATCAATGTTATTGAATGCATTATTTCGGCAGCCCATTATCGGTACAATTATTAGTAATGAGTAAATTTATCCATCGTTAAACGAAAGTATCAACAGATGTAGATTATCGACTCACCTTATAGTTCACTGCAATTGTTGCCACCTGTAGCGAGACACAAATGATATAAACCGTGCTACTGACTATATTTGGATCATATTTCGTTTTCTCCTCATTATCCATGTCAATATATAGCTTCACTTTGCCCACTCTGTAAAGGGAAATAAATATGTACAGAGATTATTAGCTTGTGCTTTAGCAATGTTTAAAATGGGGATTCCCCTCATTTACCGTGGAGGCGCCAGCGCCGTTGCTTCACTGGTCAGATAATAGAGTGTGCCAAAGTGCACAGCGAACTGTGTTAGTATAGTCGATATGGTGTACAAATTGAATATGTTGGGCAGTGGTGCTACCTTCGAGAGGGTTTTCAATGGCTGGAAATGACAAATGACAAAGTTAGTATGATTAGCTGAATAGGGATTACCGAGCGCAGCTCACCTTGGAGCGTGTTATAAAAAGAAAGCAAGCCGCTATGAATATGCCCTGCATGGTGGCTTGTGTGTCGCTGAACTTAACACCATCGATATAGAGTACCGATTGGCAATAGGCTTGAATAAGAGCATTCAAGGCCAAGATCTTGAACATTTGCAAAGTGGTGACCAGCGTGCAGCGACCCTGCTTGATGATATGATTCACTAAGGGGTAGAAAAGCAAATTTTAGACAGTTTTAAATATATACTGTATGACTAATTAGTACACGTACCACACATAATCGAAGATAGTTTACTAGTGAATGGCGCTGCTATGGATGCATCGCCGAGCTTAACCATAGTCTGTTCATCCATGTCCCGCAGAGCACTCTGTAGACGCGCTTGCGTCCGGTCGATGTGCTCCTGTCGCCTTCTCAAAGCTCGTTCTCGTGGCGACAACTGTTGATTGGCAGCCACAGCAGCTGCAGCGGCAGCTGTTGCAGCAGCATTAATCTGACGCAGTTCCTCATCCGTGCGTTTACGTTTGACTGGAGCACTGGTCAGCAAGGAGACACCAACATGGGCATGCTTCAGAGCGCCCACATCGTTGGTGCCATCGCCACACATTAAAGTATAGTAGCCCAGTTGCTTCAGTGTCGTAATGATATACTCCTTCTGCTTGGGTGCAAAGCGCGCACAGACCGTAACTTGGGGCAGCACTTTGAGCATATACGAATGATGAGCCTGCTGCAAATACAGTAACCCCTCGCCCGTAATGCACAAATCATTGGCGGCCAATAGCATTGAAATGTTCTTATCGCCCTTGACTTCATCCAATGGATAGGTGCGATCCCCGTCGATAGATACCCAGCTCCAAGTGTGAGACGATTCATTTTGAGGAGGTGTCAGAATGAGCAGCTTCTTGTTTGTAAACCGCAGCTCGCGAGCCACATGGCAAGCAGTCAACGGACTGTCACCTGTTATCATCAACACCTTGTGAGAGGACTGAACAAGCTCCTTGATAACCGCCTTCGAGTCCGGTTTCATTGGGCAGGAGATGATCACAAACCCAGCAAAAGTTAGATCGCATTCCACATCCTCACGTTTTAGCTCACGTACGCGCTGTCCTCCCAAGCTGCCGAATTCTTTGATGCCCAAAGCCATGACACGTGCACCCCGACGAGCGTATTCCAAATAGATCTAGAAATAATATAAGCAATATATAGGAATATAGGTATACTCAAATACTCTTTTACTTTATAGACGTACCTTTTCATAGTCTGCGGGAACTTCCTTCAGCATGCCCATAATAACCTCTGGAGCACCTTTGACCGCTCCAATGTAGTTGATCTCATTTGAGAAGGGTATCAAGTAGCCGGCCAGCACGGACATACGCTTCAAGGCGGAAGAGAAATAATAACGTTGAACTATGCGCAATGGCTTCAACTTTCCGCGCTTCGGAATGACGCTGTCCGACTTGGTTAGATTCCAGTCCACGGCAGCCAATGCGGCTTTCTCTAGCGGATCACCCACCAAGCCATCGTCAAGCAATGCTAGCGAATGACAACAGGCGAGCACCTGCACCGTACTATCCTCAGCCTCATCAATGGGCACACATTTCCCGTTGGACGCCAATCCAGCGATGCCCTCTACCATTAGGTTATCCGTAGTCAAAGTGCCTGTCTTATCGAAGCAACAAATCTGAACTTTTCCAGCAAAGGGAATGCGAAAAGGTTCCGTGCAGAAGACGAATAATTTTGTTAACTGAATGAGCGACGTGTTCACAGCGAGCGTTAACTCGATTGGCAAATCGGGCGGAATAATCGACGTCAATATTAAGGCGCATTCCAAAAATAGTTTGTAACGATTACGCTCTGGATCCTCGCTGCCCTTGACCCAAACATAGGAAGCAGCTGCCACAGCGAATACCATTAGGAAGGCGATAAACGCAAATGTTTCTGCATTATTCTCCGTCGCACGATTCGCACCAAAGAGAATGGTGCGCAACAGTTTGCCCTGAGAAGTGTTGAAGCCAGTGCGTATAACATAGCCAATGCAGCCGCCATCGGGTGCGCGCATCGATTCCTTGCTGGGTGCTGTATGCTGCACCACCTTGGTGCCGCCAAACAGCACTGTGAGCTTACCCTCTCCCTCAGCATCAAGTTCAGTATTTAGTTCCTGCAGCGATTCGAGCGATTCCTTCATCTGTGGCACCGACTCTCCAGTCAGCATGCTCTCATCCACAATGCAACTGCCACGCAAGACAACCACATCGCAAGGCACAATATTGTCATTCTGTGAGCGTGTTATGGATACTAAATCTCCTGGCAGAAGCTCATCGCTGCCGATTTGCCGCCATTTGTTCTGTCTCAGCGCGTATATCAGATATGGCTTATTGCCCATTTTACGTATTTCGGACATGTTGCGCAACTGTTGCTTAACAATCGTGCACTCGAAGGCAATCAGCATGAAGAGCGTGAAGAGTGAATAGTACCAAAAGTCATCCATGCACCACAGACCCACAGAGAACACCTGGAAAACGAAAAACGGTGCGGTAGCCCGTTCAATAAATAGTTCATGGAATTCCGGTACAACCATGTCCATTTCATTGTTGCCGTAGGTCTGCATTGCTGTTTTGATAGCCTGCTCCGTCTCCAATCCTCGGGAGCTCGCATAGCTGCTCAACAGCTTATTTACTGGGAATTGCACTGCACGAAAGATCGCCTTATCCTCATCCCAAACGTATTTTGTCTTCTGAAATACCAAATAGTATTGCAGGTCTCCATTTTCCAGCTTTAAGTGTCGTATAGGCACAATTTTCGAGTTGCCATTGTTCGCTGTGGGCACCACTTTCGCTAGAACACCAGCTGCCGGCTTCTTGACGCGACGGCAGGTGAGAAAGGCTAACACGTGTACGCTCCAATAGCAAAAGAGCATCGTTAGTATATGCAGAAAGGCAATGGCCACCACCGCAATGAAACCAATATCGTTCCAGGCTGCATCTTCACTCCCACTCTCGTTCTTTGAATTGTGCACGTCATCTCCATGCCCTTTGTACACGTAGATCCATAGATAAAAGGCAGTCAAATACAGCGGTACAAATGGCAAAACGACACCACTCATGAGCGTCGGTTTGCGCACATGTAATGTCACATATTGTACTAGATCGTCCAGTGCGGCTGTTGGCAGTTGTTTTAAGTTATTTCTATTGGTTTTTTTGTTATTGTTGTCGCCGGCAGCGCCGCCCGTTGTGGCCGCTACAGCGCTCATCAGTGACGTTTGCTTGCTGCACTTTGATTCCTTCCCTAGTTCGCAGCTTGTGTGAGCGACGTGTTTTCACCCACTTGAACTATTTAATTCACTTCGATGTGCGTAAAAAAAAGAAAAGTAAAGTGTGTAAAAAACGCAACGTTGCCCGCACAGCTGCTTGCGTCGCAGTGTGTGCAATTCAGAAAAAAAACTATGTGTAATATTTACTTGTTTGTACACACTGTCAACATTACAATCTATATCGATATATCGATATAAAAACTTTATACATCATCCCTAGCTAACAACTCTGTGCAGACAATTTACAAACTTCTGCGTTTCTATTATTATTGTAAAATTAATTGACGATTTATTAAACTTTAAATTTTGATTAAAAGAACAGTGTAAAATGTAAAAATGCTCAAGTACATTAAAAGGCAGACGAGTAAGTGATACGAGCATGCAGCTAATGCTAAGAAAATACCTGGAGTGTTTGTGTTTATGTTTTTGCTGATGGGTCGAATTTCTATTTTAATTTGTAATTTGTTTTCTTTTTCCAACAGGTCGCCGACGCAGCTCTCACGATGCAACTGATGATGATGATGTGGTCGATTGTGCAGCAGTGGCAGCGGCGCAAAAGCGTAATTCGCTGCGCTCCACAACAAGTTTCTGCGATGAGGTGTTCATGGAGGAGGAGGAGACGGAGGCAAACCCAACTTCGGATGCAATTAGCTTAAGCAACAAAAGTTTGAATGTGGGCGCAGTTGCTGATGAAGGTAATGAGGCAAACGACAACAGTCCGTGTGTGTGTGTGATGTATCTGCGTGTGTATGTAAATACGTTAACATATGTATGCGTGGTGTGTGCGAATGAGAAGAACAAGGAGCAGAGAGTAAATAGATGGGGAATAATTTGTGCTATGTGTGTGTATGAATATGTGTATTTGTTGTTGCTGCTTTGTTTACGTTTCCGGCGTGTCATAATTTGCGCTCTTTAATTGATTACTCTTTTTCATTGAAATTTTATGGATCATTCTCTTTTTTATCACTGTGCAGCTATATTCGAATACAGCTCGCGCCTCTCCATGTCTCTAAAGGCAATTATCGATGAGCCGGATTGTCTTAGCTACTTTATACAATATTTGGAGTCTCAAAATGAGCTGCCACTAATCAAATTCTATTTGGACATTGAGAACTTTAAGCGGGCGGCCCTAACACAAATGCCTAACCTGGAAGAGGAGAATGCAACTGCTGATGAAATCGAACCAGCAGTAGATAGCTTCACACTGGAAGCTGAGCAGCACAATGTACCTGAAATAAAAACCCTTTGCGATTTGTCCATGCGCAAGCCGCTCACCGATGACGAGAAGAGTCGAATCTACGCAGAAACAAACAAGCAAATGAACAATAAACCCAAATCGAGTGCAGAGCTGCAGCCCATAAGTGCAGCGAGTATCAACGATGCCATAGCCATTTATCAAAAGTATTTAATTGTAAATGCGCCACTACCCGTGGAATTACCCATTGTCAACCTGGCACACATCTCGCTGTACCTGTGTAGCAAGGATAGCGAAAAAGAATTGCAGCAGGCAATCCCCGCCAGCTGCTTCGATGAAGCGCGCGACTATGTGCTGCAGCAGCTGGAACGGGATCATCTGCAAAATTTCCTGCAGAGCAGCTACTACTGCAAATACTGTGTAGAGCTCATCGAGGGAGAGGCTACCCTTAATATATACGACGTGCTCTACGACGAGCTAGCTCTATTCTATCTCACGGAATATCTCGAGCAACAGCAGGAGCGCGAATGTCTTGAGTTCTGGATCACCGCAATCAACTTTCGCAAGAGCTGCGATGATCAGAGTGTTGCAAAATCAGATGCTATGATCATATACGACCGCTATTTCTCTTTGCAATCAGATTGTCGCCTGTGGATGTCACAAAAGATGCGACTACGAGTAGAGCAGGCAATTTGTGCACCTGGTCAGCTGGCACATGCCTTCGATTTAGCCTTACTCGTTACAGCAAAATATCTGGAACAAAAGCACTTTGCCAATTTTCTGAAATCAAACATATTTGATAATTATGTTAACGAACTGAAAGCCAAGACGGGCATGCAGAGTGCAACGGCCGTAAAAGATGGATCGGGCTTGCAGCACAAGCTAAGCCTGAGACGTTCAAAGAATGTCAACAATCAGCAACGGCATCGTAAGACCTTATCTATGTCTGATTGCCAGCATCTGTCGCAGCATAACACACTTCTAGCAGGACTTGATACGGGCCACAAACCACTGAAATCTTCTAATTCGGGCACAGCAAATATGAACATCGATTCCAGGCAGTTGACTAATCCTCAATTGCTTTGGCAACGTCCTGTTAACTCACTCAAATTTGGCTATGTAAACTCGCTGGGCCGATACGAGCGAGATTTCGATTCTGTGGATGCTGTTGCCTCACAAAACAAAGCGCCAGCCTGGTCGCTGAGCGTTAAGAATGCTATGCGCAAGCTGGTCAATCTACCGGAGGATAATGTGCAAGAGGAGATCGCCTGGCAGGTGGCCGAGATGATTGTTAAGGATGTGACTAGCGTGACGCTGCAAAACAAGAATTGATTCAATATTGATTTATTTGCTGCTAAGCAAAATATTGATTCAATATTTATTTAGTTAGTAAGCAAAGAAAACAAAATCAAAATGATTTATGATTTGGGCTCAAATACTTGATATGAATCTCGTGCACAAATCGAATGTGAAAGCTTTCGCTTCTTTACTCCACAAAACCCTAAACGAAACTTAGAACAGCTCTCTCTCTCTCTCTCTCTCTCGTTCAGTCTACACTGCTGAACAAAACTATGGAACAAACACAATTAACACAAATTAATTTAATGTAAACATATTTAGATTTTTCTTTTTTACACAAAAGCTCTCTTAAATGCTCTTATGAGGGTAGTCTGAAATTATTTCCGACTTTACAATGAATATAGATGAACATTAGAATAGAAGAAAATTAAATTATTAATCTATATATTTATATATATTGAGACGTACCCTCATTTATGATTTATGAATTTCAAACGATCGCTCTCTAAGATTTTACTCTCTTATACATTCGACACTTGTCTAAAGTATGAACACTTTTAATCTTGTATTAAACACAGACGCTAATTTATATAATTTGCAATTTGAAAAGAAAGCTTTTTGAAAGCTCTTTACAAATGGAACTTTATCTAGTTCACTCACTCATTTGTTATGTAAAGCACACAGACACAAATACACTCATGAACTTAACGAAAGTTTCCTTCAGTTGGTACCTACAAAAAGTATATATTTAACTAAAATTTCAGTTGTCTTTTATTTAAATAATATTTGCAGGATAACTGAGAAACAAATTAAATATTATATCTTTCATTCCAGAATTTTAATTTTTACATAGTATATAAAATAACGCGTATACATAACATATTTTTGCATACCGAAACTATATAACAAAATAAATTGTTACAAAATAAACTTTTCTATATGACAAGAGATTGTTAACTGTTTTCAAAATATATGTATATAAGTATGTTAAAGCATAAATTATATAACCTCTATTCCGAGGTATTCACAACTCTTAAATCTGAGGAATAGAGCCTCAATTATCCTCCTCTGGCTCCTCCATGGGCACATTTCCCGTTTGGCTAAACCAGCGCAGGATGCGTAACATCGTCTTGGCGGAGTATAAACAGAATGGATATTCATTGTAGCAGCGATCACTGCGTCCACGTAACGCCAGTCCTCGACTAAAAGCGCGTCCAATTTTTGCTGGCGCCATTTCTAAGGAGGATTCCATAAAGTTCATCAGCAGCTCCGCCTCCTCGGAGTGGGCCTCTGCACCAGACATCAGCTGGCAGATGAGCGATTGCAAACACTCGAAGGGATCGCGGGCAAGTATGCGTTTCCAATCTATTGAAGCTGTGGCACTGTGATGCACTGCATCATTGCTGCCACCTCCTGTATCTTGTCTCCCATGGACCCAGCCCAAAGCGCCACTCTTGGTATCTCGCTTGCTACGTTGCAAGCTAAAAGCCGAGCTCGCTTGACCAATAAAATTTGGCAACTGTTGCAGATTCAACGTCGTGCCCACCTGACCAGCTAAATTTGAAATCTGCTGTATGGGTCGAATGCGATTCCAATCCTGTGCCAACAGATGCATCATATACATAGCACCTAAGCCCATGGCGGCCAATATAAATACACTGTAATAAAGACATACAGAAAATAGTACAAATATGATCAAATAAAAAAAAAAAAAGTTTCAGTTAACTAATAATTTTTTGCGTATACGTACACATGTATGCATACATTTAAATTTGGTACTCATTGCTAATCGTTTTCTTAAGTCTTATCGATATTTTTGTATGGGGGAATCAGATTCTATTATTGAGTCAACACTTCAAAGAACATATCGATTAAGCAAACAAAATCGATATTGATATGAATAGCAAACACATAAAACAATTGATAACAGCAGTGCGCGCACTTCTTTTAAAGGAGGCTGCTCGATTTAGTTTATATAATATCCACTTAAAATTTGAAATTGATATTTTATAATAAATTATTTTGTAAGCATTCCCAAGTTTTCACTTGAATATCCAGTTGTAGGTGACAAGGATTGAGTATCCACTTACCGTATTCCCATAGCAGTTGCTGTTTGCCGTTTTCTTTTCGCTGTTTGCTGGTATTTAAAAAACGCGTCCGTTTGATTGCGTGGTCAGCGCTTCAATGCGGCACCTTGTTGCGCGTTTTCATGGTTAAAGCCGCCTCGACCAATTCGGCTAACGAACTAACAATCTTTTTTTGGCCACAATTAAACCAGCCCAAAGGCTCACAACTTTCCGCCATCGAGAGTCAGGCAGGCAGTCATGACATAATCGCCAAAGAGATCCACGTCCAATCAAGATGCAGGCCTCAATTTTGTTTGGGCTCCCCGCCACAAACTGGTTCGTTTGCTTTTCAATTGCAATTTTCGTACACTTTTCTTACATTTGCCGTGGATGTGGATGTGGTCAGGCAACTAGTTTTTCCGCCTCCCACTTGGCTTGGCATTTCATTGTTTTTAACCATTTCTTCGTTTGTTATTGTTTGTTGTTGTTGCTTTTGTTTGAGCCAGTTTCAATGTTGCGGTCAACAACGGAAAAAATGTTTGAACTTTATGCATGTCTATGACCATGGCAGTGGGTCACATAGCAAGTCCTCGTCGAATGCCAGCGGCAATAGTAAAAATTTCACAAATTTGTAATCCCATCATCTTAATTCATTGGAACCCAATCGAGTGCTCAATGTCAAACTACGGAAATGGAAATCCATATCAAAGAAGAGGAAAGGAGAAGAATGAGATTGGACTGCATGACTGTGGGATTCTCTGTAAATAATTAAAGTACAGGTATAACTAGTGAACAATTCTAATTCATGCTAATTTTGGATATTTGATAAGAAGAATAATACATATTAAAAGATATTTAAAAAACTTTGTAATAATGTAAAGAAATCAAATAAGTGTTGATAGATATATATCACTAAAGGAACCATCTGAAAATCCTAAATTGTCCAAATAAAACGAAATGAAATCACAATCTTACAAATTTAAGAGCTCTTGCTTCTACTAGCAATATAACAAAGATATGAGGAAATGTGGAAACTATGTCAGACAGAGATAAAAGCCAAAACATTTTTAAGCCAACAAATCGAGGCAAGATAAATATTACTACTCCTTAAGAGCAAAAGCTGCAATCTGTGTGCAGAAAGCTTTTCGTTGCTCGGCGACTATAAAAGAAAGTTGCACCCAAGGCTGCGCTTTAGTCGTCTGGCTGATTTGCCAAGCCGCAATTGGCAAACGCAAAAGTACAACACTGTCTTCAATTTTAAGCGGGTAACATTTATCGGTTATCGGTTAACATTTAACGGCCAATGCAACAGAACCGGCTAAGCCGGTGGCAAATCGTGAATTACGTAAGAGTTGCAACGAAAGTGAAAGCAAACAGTAACAGCATCGCATGTTGCATCATTTGGTTGCAACAACAAGCCAATAAACAAAATGTTTTACGCTGTCATCTTCTTTTCAACAATTGTGCTGCTCTTCCTAATCAGCGGCACAAGGAAACCAGATAAATTTCCACCAGGTAATTTTTCGAAAATTTGAAATTTATGAAATCGGGCAAGTATATAAAATGAATTTTTTTTTTTTCATATTTCCAAAAACATTAAGTTTTCTTGAAAGTTTTAAGCATTTATGCAAAAATCTAAAGTTGCAACTTTAATAAAACCAGAGTAAAATATAAGACAATTGATCGAACATGTTATGTAAGTTTGAATTTAAGTTCAGGATTTCTCGATCAGTATGTTCATTTAAACAAACAACTTTTTGAAAAAGAAATGCCAGTTGAGCTGGACTGAACGGGTTAGCATCTAGCCTGATATCTGTAGGATAAAGTTAAATATGTATTATATATCTAATCATCCTTTCCTATTGTCAGGTCCACGTTGGTATCCCATTGTGGGTAGTGCACTGCAAATCTCTCACCTGCGCATGCAATTGGGCATGTTCTGCAAGGTGATCGATGAGCTGGCCAGGCGCTATGTGAATCCCTACGGATACTATGGACTGAAGATTGGCAAGGACAAGGTGGTGATAGCGTATACCAATGAAGCAATCAGTGAGATGATGACAAATGAGGACATTGATGGACGCCCCGATGGCATCTTCTATCGGCTGCGCACATTTAATTCCCGTCTGGGTGTTCTCCTCACCGATGGAGATATGTGGGTGGAGCAGCGACGTTTCATCCTGAGGCACTTGAAGAACTTTGGCTTTGCACGCAGCGGCATGGTGGACATTGTGCACAATGAAGCCAGCTGTCTTCTACAGGACTTGAAGGCCAAGGTCATGGCAGCAGGTGGGGAGGAGGCCAGGATCGAGATGCATGATCTGACTAGTGTCTATGTGTTGAACACCTTGTGGCGCATGCTGAGTGGAAGACGGTATGAGCCCGGCTCAGCGGAGATAACGGAGCTGTTGGAAACTTTCTTTGAGCTGTTTAAGAACATCGACATGGTGGGGGCGCTCTTCAGTCACTTCCCTCTGCTCCGCTTTATTGCGCCTGATTTTTCTGGTTACAATGGGTTTGTGGAGAGTCACAGGGCTTTATACTCGTTTATGAGCAAGGAGATTGAGTTGCATAGAAAGACATATCGCAATTATGATGAGCCGCGCGACCTGATGGACAGCTATTTGCGCGCCCAGGAGAAGGATAAGAAGAATCCCATGTTCAGCGATGAGAGTTTATTGGCCATATGCTTGGACATGTTTTTAGCCGGTTCGGAGACGACCAACAAAAGCTTAGGCTTTTGCTTTATGCATCTGATTAGACAGCCAGAGATACAGGAACGAGCTTTTGCTGAGATTAAGGATGTGGTGGGGTTGGAGCGCATACCGGAATGGTCGGATCGGAGCAAGATGCCTTACTGTGAGGCCATTACATTGGAGGCGGTGCGCATGTTTATGCTGCACACCTTCGGTATTCCTCATCGTGCTTTGTGCGATACGCGCCTATCCGGCTATGAGATACCCAAGGATACGATGGTAATTGCCTGTTTCCGTGGCATGCTTATCAATAGTTTTGATTTTCCTGAACCGGAAGTATTCGATCCGGAAAGATATCTCGTTGGTGGACAAGTCAAACTGCCAGAGGCATTTAATCCATTCGGCTTTGGACGACATCGTTGCATGGGCGACTTACTGGGTCGACAGAATTTGTTTATGTTCACCACAACGCTGTTGCAGCACTTTAAATTGGTTGCCATTCCTGGCCAGATGCCCGAAGAGGTGCCGCTCGAGGGTGCCACGGCAGCAGTAAAGCCATACGATGCCATGCTGGTGGCCAGATCATGAGCAGCTTTTAAGGAAATGCAATTTTTGTTTAAAATAACAATAGCAATAACGGCTATGGTTTTGCAATGAGCAACGGTCGATATATATCATAGTCTACCATTTTATACGCTTTATACACCACACTTGATCAAATGTTATCGAATTGCGGGCAACATTATCGATATTGAATTAATTAGATTATTCTTGGTACGCACACGCTTACATATATTATATATGCATTGAGCTGAAGTAAATATTCATGCGCCTGCACACCTACCTTGAGTAACTAACTAATCAATCAATGGATTATCCACAACGCCCTCTTTTGGTTTTTAATCATTCATTATTGAACACAATATTTTGCTACATTCTCTAATTATGTTTTTATGTTTTAATTCTCACATATAACTATTATTGTTCATATTTGTTAGTATTTTTCTTTTGTTACATATATAGTCTACAAAGTTGTCATTTAGGTTATTTTCTTTCGTCATTCGATTCACATCATTTTATCAATTTCAGTTTTGATCAATTTAATTTGATTTTTAAATTGGCCTTTTGATATTTCGCACGTTCTTCAGCAAACAACAAAAGCATTTCGCATTGTGCATACATAAAAATTAGATTTAAGCACTAAAAGTACGATACAAATACAAATACATATATATATATTTATATAAATATATATATGGCATATATGTATGAAAAACAATTTATCAGCTTAGCAAATATTATACAAATGTTATTTCCACAAATTGCATTGAATTTAATTTTCTATATGTATTAAGAATGCGCATTCCAACAATATTTCATTTGCCTTTTCTTCTTCTACACGAATTGCATAAATTTTTGTTTTGTTTGTTATTGTTATTTAAAGCTATTTGTTTAGGTTTTTGTGATTTATGCTTGGAAAACAATTGTTGCTCGAAATCTTTCGATCGGCATTTTGTTATATATATGTACATATATTTATTTTGTATTTTTTTTTTTTTTTATTTTAAAATTTGAAATTTGTGTGTTGATATATTCTCACTCTTGAGCCTGCTGCTAGACACTGGGCTTACATGATCTAATTAGATATATATATATATATATATATATGGTGTATATATGTATGTTTTTATGTACGTATGTGTGTAAAAAACGCTAACAATTGTCACATAAAAGCAAAGCCAGCGTTAACTTATTTGCATATTTTAAGCATTTCTATAAAGTAACATTAACTTCATCTTATACATTTATGTATATATGTATGCATGTATATATATATATCTAAGATGATTTCATTAATTGTTGCACACATGATCTTGGTCCATGATTTCAACGCGCGAGAAGAAGAGTACACAGTATATATATGTATAAACTATAAATTTACGATTCAGTTGAAGTGAAATAAATAAAGTGATTCGCAGCTGCAGCACAGGCTGCTGAGCTATTTCGTGTGGGGGGATATGTTCAGTTCTAGAAATAGAATTAGGATTAGGATTAGGATTAGAGACTAGAAGACTAGCAAAAAGCATTCAACATTTGTGCAACATAGAAATTTGAGACAATATACAAATACAATTTATATGCATACACACATTCGCTAAAATCAAATTAAACAACTAATGAAATTCCCTAAAAATGTTGCAGCAGTTATTTCTGTTTGAGTTCTTTTTTTTTTATATATATATAGATATCGTTGCTTTCATCTCCTAGTCTCAGTTTTTGCGCCACACAAAAGTTGGGAGCTGCTGGGCACAGCAGCAGGCGACTATATAGAGTATGCCAAAGAAGAAGTTGAGTTTTGCCGTCTGCCGTGGCACCGCAGCCATCGTTTGCTCGTTGCGAAAACGTTTCTCGATTTGAAATGCTTGTGGGAGCGTTATTAACGGTAACAGGAACCACAGAGAGTACTTCAGTCCAAAAATGAAGAAAAGCGAATAGGGTGTGAAGAGCAGCATGGCATAGAGAACATGGGAGGCAGTCCGTCCAATGAGTATGGCCAGCGTCACAATGCCGGCTTTGCCATCACTTTCCGCATCTCGTGTATTATTGCTATGCAATATGGCCTCTGTATTGAGAGCTAGCGGTATGGCATAGCCCATTGTTGTCCAGTCCACGTGACCCGTTTGCGCCATGAACGCAAATAGCACCGATGTTGGCCCGAACAGTATTAAGATGACAAGATCCCCGAGTGCAATGTATTTGAAACCAATGCCGCCCGTATAGAGGAAACTCGACGATAGGCCGCCAAAGTAGATAAGTGCCAAGTGTTCCATTTTAGCTGGACTCAGCACGGCGAGCAGCACAAAGCCTCCACATCCCGCCAAATACAAAATAGCACCCAATGAAACTACCTAAAAATAAACAAACAGAATCAATTAAAATTGAGTGACTAATATTTTAGACGATACTGTATAAGCATTGATGTCTTCGCTTACCTCATCCTTGGTGAGTATATGATCGACCAGAGTGCGATCGTCAGCCTTTTGTTTATCGATACCTTTGATGTAATCAAAGTAAGTATTGACCACATTGCCGGCGCAGTGCACCGTGACGACAGTGAAGGCGGTTAAGAAAAATGTGAGCATGGAAAAGTCATCCGACCATTGCGACCGATATGCCAAGGCGGACCCGAGCAGCGTGGGCACTAAACTGGCTGACAGTGACCAAGGACGCAAGGCGAGCAAATAGGTTTTTAATTTCATAAACGTGCCAGAGCTATGATAGTTGGTGCTAATTGATGAGGCTGCTTTTCCATTTGACTTAGCCTCGTGACTGCCGTTCAATAAACGCTCCCGGAGCAGCTGCTGAGAGGCTGCGACATCCTGCTGTTCGTCTTCGCTTCGACTTGTTGCCATTGCTCGTGCTGCTATTCAACTGCCAACTGGAAACTTTGCATTCACCAGCTGTGAATAATTTTCGGCGCCGATATTGTATAAATTTTGTTGGCACTTATTCTTTTGTTTACAATAGTTTAAATATATTCCTGCCGTCTGTTCAATTCACTGCTAAAATCGTATACACAGCATTTTGTATGTGTGTAAGTCGGTTTGTGTCTGTATATATATAAATATGTGTATGTGTGCGTTGCTAGCTGTGTGTAGGGGCAGGGGCTGCAGCTCCAACAACAACAACAAATTTCACCAAACAGCCTGCGTGCTCCAAATCCAAATTGCGAGTCGTCACACTCTAGCCGCACCACCTGCGCCGCACCGTAGAACTTGCATGCAGGCAACACTCACACGCTTTATTGTTATAAAATATATGTATATATAATTAAATTTCACTTAGTTCTTATTTATTTTGCAAGCAATAATAGAAGATTGCCTAGCGAGAGAAGAGAGAGCCTAATCAAACAAACCAACTGTCACGTCAGCGCTTGCAGAGTTCGGTCACACTGGCTAATTTAGTGTGTTTAAAGAAAGAGATTTTGCAGCACTTAAACTGGACAGTATGCAGCTCGTGATTTGTGCTAGAAAACTACAAAATCTATTACTGCTCATTAGTTGATTGCATTACATTGAACAGAATTTAAATTTAAAATTCAATTCAGTTAATATTGTTACCTAAATCTATTCTTGCTTGTATCACGACTGCACTCTCTGTTGGATTTAAATTTTGCTCACATTACACCCAGCCCTGACTATTGGACAACGACTGCTATCGGCGCAGCCCTAGTTCTTAACCAACAGCTGTTGGCATTTGTTTACATCCAAATATTAATCAAAACATTAAAACCATGGATTTTAATGTGCATAAAATATGTAGAGTGTGTCTGGAGGAAGGGGCGCCAAGCCCACTAACATCCATTTATAGCACAGACTTTGCGATGATGCCCTCACAAATGTTGATGATGTGCTCTAAGATTCGCGTAAGTTGTATGCAAAAAACTAATTGAAAATATTAAAAAATAAAAACAACTCTTTGCAGGTTTATAAAACAGACGGCCTTCCCGCGGGCATTTGTAATAACTGTTTGTACCGGCTAGGAGTAGCTTATCATTTTCAGCAGGAGTGTGAGAACAGCGACTTACGCCTGCGTCAATATTTGGGAATACATGAATCATTTCGCCACGATGCAGCGACGAACACCGAAAATGAGATTAAACCAATGCCTGCGAATGTGCAACTGAATTCCAGTGATGAGGAGGATGGCCAAGCGGATATGAAGCGCAGCAAACGACGCTCACGATATCAACGGAAACCGCCCGAGAGCCACAAAAAGCGTGGACCTAAGCCAGTGGCCAAACTGCCACACACCTGCTACGTGGCTACCTGCCAAAAGAGCTTCAAGTGTGCTGCACAGCTTACTCAACATATTCGCACACATACCGGCGAGAAACCATATGCCTGCAGCTATTGTGCCCAGCGCTTTGCTCAGAAATACAATCTCAAAGTTCACGAGCGAACGCACACGGGGAACAAACCATTTCAGTGTGAGATCTGTTCAAAACAATTCTCAGCGCTGGGCAACTTTCAGGCGCATCAGAAGATCCACAGCGGCGTGCGGGATCAAATCTGCTCGCTGTGCCAGAAAGCCTTCTACACTGCCGGCGATCTGTCGAAGCACATGATCACCCACACGGGCATTAAAAATCATCATTGCGACGTATGCGGCAAGTCCTTCAGCAGACGTCGCGACATGCGCGCTCACAAGGTCAAGTTGCATCCGCTCGAATCGAGCACGGAACATGATATTGTAGACGACGATGATGATGAGCCCATCGATACGGATCCCGTGGGCTTGGATACCTTGGAGCATTCGCATTTCAAGTGTCCCGATTGTGATAAAGCTTACGATTCGGCTGATAGCTTAAGTCTGCATTTCCGCACGCATGCGGTGAATAATAATTTATTGAATTTACCTTTGCCCGCACCGCCGCCCATGTCACATCACTACCATCACCATCATCCCGCTGGCGCACCCCCATCCACTGCTGCAATGCATCATCACGATGCACTACAACTGCATCATTTGGCGCCACCGAATGCAGCCACCCAAATGGGCATGGCGGCCATGGCGCATATGTTGGCACCACCACCACCGCCTCCACCCACACCCAGCGATGGGCGTTACACAATGTTGCACCATACGGCGGCACAGCGACTGCACTACTAAAAATTCCTAATAAAACAAGACTTAACTAAAAATTAATATAGTTTTCAATTATTGCATAGACTCGCATGTATCCCAGATTTTGATTCTGGTTAAGAATATACATTTATGATAGGCTTGAACTCGTTGAACTCGTTTGGCTGTTGATATATTTTACTCTCTTTACACATCATCTATAAATGCACGGTTAACATCACTTGATATACCCTTGATGATCCACAATAATTACAGGGTATAGATATACACCCATATTCTACTTAAGTACAGTTTGATATTTTGTAATATATTGAACACTTTTCTTTAAGCATTACATATGCAATTATGTATATAAAAATGGAATTCTTTGTCATGTTTTTTGTTGTTTGTACAATAAATATATAAAATTTGGCAAGCACAGCTTCTATAAGATCATTTGTATTGCTTCTTAAACTCTCAACTAAAATCACTTTAAAAATTCATTACAAATACATTTAAATGTAAAACTATATACTGTTTGCTGCTTGCTTTTTGTTGGCATTGTATAAATAATTTAAAATGTATTATTTTGTTTATATAAAAAAAGGAATTGTCATATTTGTTATATTGCTTTGCTTTGCTGTTTGGTATGTATCGTTATCGTTGGTATTTCGCTTCGGCTCCATTTAAAATATATATGAGAAACTATTTGTAAAATATTGCTTTCTATATATGAATGACGCGCAGAGTGTGATCTGCATCTACTTAAGCTTAGCCCTCAGCCAATCCTCGGTTAATTCATCCAACTCACGTATTTCGTACACTCGAGTCAGATCCACTTCTCGCTGCAGCGCGCTTTTTGTGCAGGCATACATCATTTGCAGTTCTATTTGACTGTCTCGCGGTGTGTAGAAGATGAAGCACATAGGATACGAAATACGCTGATCGTCGTGCACCATTTTATATGTGTAAATCACGTAGCGGGGCTGATGGCCAGGCAGTAAATCCTGCAGCTCCTCCACAGAAATATCATCAATGAACTCATCGAGCACCACCGATTGCTTCTCCCTATCAACTTTTACTGTTAGGCGGATAGAGAAGGAAAGAAGGAAGGAAAGAGAAAGGGAGAAGATATATCAATCAACGGCCCGTTTGCTTTAGATACTTTGTTGTCATGGCAACATTCTATAAATTTTCCGCTTACATATCAGCGCTGAATTGGTTTTGCTTTTACGAAAGCGAAACTTTTTCAATTCCTCGAGCACCTCATTGCTAATGTCGCATATTTTGTTATCACCCTGCAATTGCAACGGTTTTAATTAGTTAATGCATTTGAAGAATAACAAATCTTATCGCCTCAACAGAACGCACAAAGCACGAAAAATTGGCCCGCCCACAGAGCAAAACAATTAGTCATTCTTTTTCATATGCTATCCGTTGCATTGAGAGAAAATAAAAACTCTCACCATTTAGATTTATCTGCACTTGTATTTAAGAGTTAATTCAAAGTTATTTTTCTTTTAGCTAAAAACGAAAACAGCGGCAGATAACACAAATAACAAAAATCTTTTGCCGTGTCCACCTCCTTTGTTTTGACTCAACACGAACACTAGATATATGTACATACACCTGTGGGCACCCTCATAACTTAACATTCACTCAAATGTTATTTCTAGCTGTTGCTCGTACTATCGATTAATGACAACAAACTGTAATACCAATAAACAATAAAAGATATGCAATACATAAATTAAAAAAATTACTTAAAGAAATACGTTTTTTTGAGTTTAATTATAAAATTATTATCTCAACGAAACAAGATCTCTGTTAACGATCATTTCCACTATTAAAATTAAGTGCTGCAAAACGTGACATTTTCCCGCCCAAAACATCAAATATGCTTAAATTTACCGTTCATTTATGAAACTGGCAACTAAATAGCGCCATGGCGCTAAAACAAGTTGACTTCAAAGGAAATAAGGAAATAAATCTCTTAAAACCCTGCTGGATAGCAGGCAATAAAAAATATTCAACAACGCAATTTGTAAAACAGTTTGCGCGACATGAAATTAACGAAATCGACGTGGTTGCAAGTTGGTAGGTCCGATGTTGCAAGCATAACTGCAAACTTTGTAACTGTAAATTGATGTACTGAATATATTTGATAAAAAGCGAAAAAATATCCGACATTATTGAGACGAATCAGGTGAGGAGAGGAACCCTAAATAATGTAGTGGACACTCTGAGCTGTCGAGCTGTTACCTTCAAAGACATTGCGCGCCTCACTTTTGGAATTAATTACATACTAAATCAACAGGTTACCTCGCTACTGGGTAAATATAGTTATGTAATTGCATTCCAATTGCTATCCTATAATTATAACTATTGTGGTCACCTAGATGATACCAAGCATTTGCTGGAGCAAATTATGAGGAACAAATTCGATTTAAATCAACCGACGCAGCAAACAAATCCGAATTTTAATTGCCGCAAAAGAAAGCAAATTATCACGAAGCACACAACGACTGTTTCTGTGGCAAAGAGAGCTAGAGTCAGAGAGCCGCAACTATTAGATGAGGAAAATGTAGATTATTATAGACATTTATTAACCGAATCTCAACAATGGAATATAGAGAAGGAAAATGTGGCAATCGAACAGGTAATAGTTTATATATATATAAATACAAAGTATGGTCTGACATTTTTGGTCTGCCTTGACATTTCAGTCACAAACTATAGAAGTGGCTCGCACTTGCTTACCCGAGCACATGATAAGCGTAACGCACGAGCTAACTTTTACAGAAATGGAGCAGGAGACAATGTGGAACAATGGCTTTGGTGACTCCAATCAAGTTGATGTGACCGCGCTTGAAGAATTTCTGCCAGCCAGAAATGCTGGTAATATAGTCAGCTATTCTTATCTATATATAAGTATTTATATATTTTTAGTGAAGCGCAAGTCGCTTGACCACTGTCCTACAGGTGTTTTGAGCTATAAAATGCCCAGATTGGAAACAGATGCAATTATGGAGCAGACAAACAATAATCCACAAACCTTGAATCCTTGTCAGCCGCTGGAGCAGGAGATGGAGCAGCTGGAATTGCCTCCACCAATTGTTATTACTCCACAAAAACCTAAAACTAAATCAAAACGCAAAAACAGAGTTATTAAAGATCAAATCATAAAATTATCAAGAGATGCTCTGCTCCGAGACAGGGAAATCTTTTTTAGAAGATTAACAAAAGGAAAATGGCGGAAACCTAAAATTATTAAGCACAACAATACCTGTGAGGTATTGCTAAATAGTTTCAGGCAAAGGTTAGATTTTATTATTATTATTAGTAAATATTATTATAATCACATTGTTTTTGTAGTCAACTTTTTCCAGATCGTTTGAAGAGAGATGTGCAGCTGAACAGCGAACAAGCTGAAGCGGCGTGTGAATCAACACTACGAGCTATATTAGGAGCTGAGTATAGTGATGAGCTGTCCAGAGAGATACTGTCTATGAGACCTCTTAGTCCACAACTGTTAAATACATTAGAGATTTCTGCTTTGCCACCACTAGAGGCAGAGCAACCTATTCAGCTCTCTCCACCTGCAATTGAGGATCCACGATGCAATAACAACAATAATAATTCCTATACCACTTACAATGACGATATTAAAAATATAGGTAGGCGGACGATGAGTTTAGTTGCGGCTTCTAGCTAACTAACTAATACTTAATCTTTCTTCAACAAAGATTCTTTGCGCATTATGATGCATTTGCTCAGCATATGGCGCTATAATCCCGATTTAAAGTGTATAGATGCCAACAAGTTTATCAAATCATTTCCGGATCGCTTTAAAGCGGCCCTGGCATTCAATCATTTGTTATGTTAGTAACATAGATGAAAGTAAAATACGATATCTAATCTTTTCTTATCTCTTAGATCTTGCAAAGGAAGGCTTTATAGAACTCTCCACGAAGCCGGACTCTGTGGAGATAAACGAAATTACTTTAGGCGCAGAGTCCAACTGGCTTATTGAAGAAAACTTAACAACTTGTGAGCAGTTTATAAATAATTGATTTCTAAATGTTAGTTAATTAACACTCGAGTGTTTATATTTGGTTTTGAAGTTTCTTTTTTTTTTCTCTATTTTTTTGTAAACTTGTTTCTTGTTACTGTTTAAATAACTATAATTCATTAACATTTGTTTAATTCTCTAAATCGTTCTTTGTTTTGTTATCTTTCGTCTTAAACTCTTGTACCTCGCTAAATACCATTAAAACCAAAGTATATGAAAAACAAAATTCAATGAAAAACTAAAATTGAATTAAATGCCAATTTGCTGGGCCAGGCATGCATAAATATTCAGTGAGCAGAAGCCAATGATGGCAGCAACCAGAGCTTTGACTGCAATCGATGTCCAAGGTCCAATGCTTAGGATGTGCAACAAGCCTTCCAGCCAAACGCCCTTAAATATGGTCACGACTAACAATATGGAGACTAGCGGCTTTAGTGCCTTGTTGAGATCGTGACGTGTGAACAACCAGATCAACGTGGCAGTTGATAAATGCTGGACGAGCATCACGTTGGACTCCAAGCACTTCTGTATATAGATCCAACTGAACTCGGTGCCACGTGCGCCTACCCACAACATAATACCACGAGACAGTATGACCTCCGCAGTAGCCCCTGAAATGAATGAATAAATAATTAAGTTAACTTAATTGAAATCCTGGGCATTGTAACCTTACAGCCCAATCCAGCGGTGATTAATTTCGAGTGGCCCTTGCCGGGTATGCGACTCAGTATAAGTGCAAAGCCAAGTAGATCGGCAATATCTACGCTGCAGCGCAGTATTTCCTACAAGAACATGCCACATTTTTAAATCGAACAATAAATATTTCCTAATCTGAATTGCATACCGCGAAAAAGTTAAATTCTCCGTTACTCGATGATGAGTCCGAATAGAAGAATGTAGCTAATACGAGCATTTTACAAAGCTGTGTGAATATATAAATGCAGCCTGCCTGCACACATTTCCAGAACGCACCATATTCCGACCTGAAAAATGTTTATCAATTTTAACAAATGTTTATTGATTAATGGCTTGATTTATTGGTTGCCCTAATTCAAAAGTATATATTACTTACAGGCCCGAGTATTTGTAGGTGAAATAATATGGCAGTAGTAGTGCAACACAATTTCCAAAGTGATACAGCGTCATTTTCTTTTATAAACCTTGACTTTTTCGGTTAATTATGTTAAAACATTAATTTATAGTACAAATTGGCACACGAGACGAAATGAATGAAAAAACACTGGGTAAGAGGAAGAACGGCGAGAGAATCCAGCAGCTGTCAATTGTTGCCGGTGGCGCTGCCAACTCATGATATTTGGTGTATTTAAATACCAATTTTATTTATGTAAATAAGAAAAACAATAATAATCCTTCAAAATATGGTCAACTTGTTTAACTCAATATATGCCAAATGACTTTTTTGTATTGTAAACTCATATTTGGCGCTTACTTCACACAGCTATATCTACTTAATAATTTAGTTTGGTATTTTATATTTATATGGTATTTAATTGAGTTGGCAGCTCTCTTCGCCAGCAACACGTCATCTGTCATCTGGGATGGCTTGACTGTGCATGTGTGGGTACAACTGTTTTTTTTTTATTAGTGCAAAATATCTAGGAAACTCATAATTCAATCGCAAAATTCCACAGAATAATTTGTGAGAAATTTATAAATATATATTTAGCGTGGATACAAAATTGAGTTAAGAACTGCAGCACATGCAAGTAAATCGCCAAAAGAGTAAATTAATCCAAGTCGTAAAACAAGAAAGCGAAGAGCTGTGCATGACGAATGCAAAAGGCAACGTCAACAACAAATACATTAACAAAAGCAATACGAAGGACAAGGATCTAAGCAACTAAGAACCTTGACTTGAAATGAAATGCAAACTCGACGCCGTCATCAACAAACGGACCAGCAGGAATTCAGCAGCAATTACAGTGTCCAGCAATTGCCACAGCAGGAGCAACTGCAGCAGCAGCAGTCGCTAATCCATCCTGGCCAACAGCAATTGTTGTACGTAGCTCCACCATCGGAAGCTGCCATTAATATTGGCGAACCTTCTTCGAGTGTCGACGCAGACGACAAATACGACAAGGCCGCCCGTCAGTGGAACTTGTTTAGTGGCATTTCGTCACGCTCTGGCCAGGCGCTGCGCACTTTCATACAACAGCCATTGAGCGCCGCTGCTGCTGTTGTAACAGGCAATCATCCCAATCAGTCGCAAAGTTTGGATAATAACAATAGCAGCAACAGCTACGAGAAGAGCGTCTATAATTTCGGAGGTCACCCGGCACAGGTTGAAACTGAAGAAATCGAGGAGCCAGAAATATTCATAATGGCTGCAAGAGATCGTACGGGCGAGTTTGCCAATGCGATTCGTTCGCTACAATCACGAAACATCACACGAGCGGTCAACATACGAGATCCGAGGAAGGCCAAACAGGTGCAGAGCTATTCGGAATTTATGATGGTTGCCCGCTTCATAGGCAAGAATATTGCCAGCACATATGCGAAACTGGAGAAACTTACCATGTGTAAATTAATCAATTATACATATCTATTCTCTATTTATCGATTTAACCATTATTCACTTGCTTGCAGTGGCCAAAAAGAAGAGTCTATTCGACGACAGACCGCAGGAGATTCAGGAGCTGACTTACATCATCAAAGGTGACTTGAATGCATTAAACCAGCAAATAGCCAAGCTGCAGGACATCTCCAAGGATCAGCGCCGCACCACAAATGGCAAGCACCTCGTCTCACATTCCTCCAATATGGTGCTTGCCCTGCAATCTAAATTGGCCAGTATGAGCACAGACTTTAAGCAAATCCTTGAAGTGCGTACCGAAAATCTCAAACATCAGAAGACAAGACGTGATCAATTCAGCCAAGGTCCTGGACCTTTGGCAGCGCACACCGTTTCACCATCGACCGCCAAGCAGGGTTCACTGCTGCTCAGCGAGGAGAATCAAGCGGTTAGCATAGATATGGGCGGAACAGAAGCGACGCCCCTGCTAGGAGCTACTTCACATCTCCAGCAACAACAGCAGCTGGCCATCTACGATGAATCCGATTCGTATGTACAACAGCGTGCTGAGACAATGCAGAATATTGAGTCCACAATTGTGGAGCTTGGAGGCATCTTTCAGCAGCTGGCGCACATGGTTAAAGAGCAGGAGGAGATTGTTGAGCGCATCGATACCAATGTGGCGGATGCGGAGCTAAATATTGAGGCAGCGCACGGCGAAATACTCAAATATTTTCAATCCGTTTCCAAAAATCGTTGGCTTATGATTAAGATCTTCGGTGTTTTGATATTCTTCTTCCTGTTCTTTGTTGTTTTTATGTCATAATTAATGCTAAATACTAACCCAATTCTAAATTATTGTGAATACATATGGCATACACCTATATTCATATATATGTAATATATTTTTATCGAAATGGAGATATGTACAAAGGTAAATTCTTGATTCAAATTCAAGCCGTTTGTAAAATAAAGTTAAATCAAGATACGTACGCCAAATTTCATGTTGGGCAATTACATTTATGCAGATAGGGCTAGTTGGCAGGCAGCCAAGGTTTGATAAGAACTTGTTTGTAATCTTTATGATGTTTAAAGTGCTGTGGCCCGTGTACAATTGGTTTTGATATCTTAACTGTCCTCTGTTTCAATGGATAGGTAGCTTAGTCGAATATGCCGCTATCTCGCAAGCTATTTAGAATATATAGAAATCAAATGTTATAAATATTTGGCGTATAGTTCTTAAATAACATTAACATCTTGTGTATATTCATATTTGTAACTGACTTAGTAATGTTTGCTGCCGATGACTTAGGCAATTGATTAGATGGAAGATAGTGTTAGAGATATAACTTTAAGTATAGCCTACGTCTAAGATAACATTACTAGATACTAGCCTACTACTAGAATTCGACAAGGTCGAGTCGAAGTCCTCAGTAGGCCGCATTCACTGTAGCATATGAGTTTTACTTTGTAAAAGTAGTAAAAAAATTAAAATTGATAAGTTTTACCTTCAATGTAGTTCTTAATAATTCCATAAAATAAAGTAAATGTTACAAAATTTCTGTTAGTTTACTGTATTTATTTTTTCTGAGGCTTCAACTACCAAATGCAAAACTAAGTAAATTATATTTAAAAAATAATAAAAAAAAACCATTAGAAATCTACACAGACGTTTCCTTGTTATGGTTGACATTATGAATAAACTAGCAAATTTTTACATTTAAAAACATTCTTCGCTCCCAAATGGAGTTGTGTAGGACTGGTTAGGCGTGTGTGTGTGTGTGCCTGTCTGTGTATGCGCGTGTGTATGTGTGTAGATATATATGCGGATGTAGATGTAGAAGATGCTCTAGTGCCAACAACAATGAGATCCCCAGGCAGCTGCCCTTTTTATACCCTCTTATGTTGAGATGAGCGAATAAACCATGCTAAAATTAGCAGAAAAACGAAAACAGAACGTTAGACAAATGCAAAATGATATTTATAAGCATAAGTAATTACCCGTATATATAGTAGAAGAAGCTGATCAAGTAGACGGCTAATTTAATCCAACCCTCGCGCAAATTCCGCGATAATGTGTCCGTCTTTAAAACCGTAGTGGGATCATATAAACCAGGACCCGACATCAATGGACGATTCTTGTAGCTGCAAGCCAATTATTTATTCAATTTATGTAATCATGATTAATCCTATGGTGATAAAACTTACCGCCATATATGGTAGGCTATTAATGGTATATTGAGGCAAAGTGAATACCATTCTCCGCAGAATAAGAAAAGTAAATTTAAGAAAAAGTGCAGCAAATATTCCGGCAAAACCAGCTGTAAAAATTCAAAATGATTAGTCATTGCTTAAGTCACACTCCAAACTAATATATACATATATATGTGTATATATTATATATTCTCTTACCGGGTTGAGACTATTGCACTGATCGATTGGATTTTTATAATCTGTTTTGAGCTCATCAAATGCAATCACATGAAATATCGCGAAAAATATTAGAAATGCATCGCCAATGAGCGCCACAATATACGTGAAAGCGGTGAAGTTGAAGGCCATTGTTTGTAGCGGCTTGATACTAAAATACTTCTGGGTGTTAGTTGAAAGCTAATAAAATATATATTACAGATGTTTATTTAAATTGTTTTGTTATAATTACGCACTGGTCCTGCTACATGAGTGTGTGAGTCGTGTAGAATGATGACAGCTGTGACTGTCGCTTAATTTTTCGCCCTAATGCTATTAACAGTGCGTGCCAGTGTCGCCCTACTTTGGTTTTATGAAAATGTTTTGAATAAAATTTATTTGCAATTTCTGTATAAACTATTTCATGAAAAATCTACTTAAACCATATTTAGACAACTTTGAAGAAAATTAAGGCTCTATAATATATTGAAATCTGTTGATAGTCATATAACAAACACAACAGAGCATAACGACTCTGTTAAGGGTGTGTCGCTGTAAACAGCTGGAAGCCAGGGTTATTATAATAAATGTTTCTCAGAGCTTTGATAATAATATGAAAAAAATTAATTATTGAAATCTAATATCTTAATTTAGCTTAAAAGATAATATTAAATTTGCTTCACTTTGTTCTGTTTTTAGAAATCGTTCAGAAGAGTGAAATAAGCTCACAAGCGCGCAATTATTATTCCGTTGCGTGCATTATGCAGCCCTGGTATCGTTTGCCGCGGAATTTTCATATCCAATGCATTTCCAAACCGCCATTGCAATTTTTGACAGCCGTGCGAACACAGACTATATTTAACAACGCCTGTGCAATCAATTTTGTGATAAATAAATACAAATAACAACTGAACTAGACAAACTGAGACGATAATATTTTATGTGAAAAATGTCTCAATTCAATTTTGTGAGTGATCTGCAGAATGCTTTGATCATGGATGGAGAGACGCGTGGTCCTGCGCCCCGCTGGAAGAAGAAGCTGGAAGCCTCGCTCAATGGAAGCGTGAATACAACACGCTCCGTGCTATCCGTTTCATATAATACGAGCTTTTCCGGAGTACAAGCACCAACCAAAACGCCAGGCAAAAGCTCTGACGCAAAGACTAAAAAGAGTGCAACGACGCCAACGAAGACACCAGGAGGAGGAGATCGTTTTATACCCAATCGTGCAGCCACAAACTTTGAATTGGCACATTTCTTGGTAATTAGCATTAATATAATACAAATTTATAGATAGGTTACCATATAGAACGTCCTATTTGTAGGTCAACAAAGACACGGGCGATAAGTCCGATGAGGACCAAGAGCAGCAGCCAACGAGCAGCAACGAGAATAATGTCCAGGCATCTGCTCATAAAGGTGAACGGCAGAAACTGATTGCCGAGGTGGCTCAGGTGGGCGAGAGCAGCAAAAGTGGACGCATATTGTGCTATCAAAACAAAGCACCCGCTGCTCCCGAGTCCCATACAAATCCTCTTAAGGTGGTGTACTCATTGAAGACGCCCATATCGACGAAGAGCGGATCGCGCTATATACCGACCACATCGGAGCGTATACTTGATGCGCCAGACTTTATCAATGATTACTGTAAGTATTTCTATATCACCTATGGTATGTATACTACATTTTCTGCTCTACTTAGATCTCAATCTCATGGACTGGAGTGGCGATAACATAGTAGCCGTTGCATTGGGCAATTGCGTTTACTTGTGGAATGCAGCGAGTGGAAATATTGAACAACTAACCGAGTATGAGGAAGGAGATTATGCCTGCGCGCTCTCTTGGATCCAAGAGGGTCAGATCTTGGCTATAGGCAATAGCAGTGGAGCTGTAGAGCTCTGGGACTGCTCGAAGGTGAAACGCTTGCGTGTGATGGATGGACATAGCGCTCGTGTTGGCTCTCTGGCATGGAACTCATTTTTGGTTTCATCAGGCAGTCGGGATGGCACGATTATACATCACGATGTGCGCTCGAGGGAACACAAAGTAGGCTCATTAAATGGGCATGCACAAGAGGTGTGCGGTCTGAAGTGGTCCACGGATTTCAAGTACTTAGCTAGTGGAGGCAATGATAATCTAGTGAATGTCTGGTCCCTAGCTGGGAGTGGAGTAGGCACCGCCACTGACCCACTGCACAAATTCAATGAACATCAGGCAGCTGTGCGAGCCCTTGCATGGTGTCCCTGGCAGCCCAACACCCTGGCATCTGGTGGCGGTACGGCGGATCGCTGCATCAAATTCTGGAATGTATGCAACGGGTCACTTATCAAGTCTGTAGATTCCAAATCGCAGGTGTGCTCTCTGCTCTTCTCGCGGCACTACAAGGAGCTGATTTCTGCACACGGCTTTGCCAACAATCAATTGACCATCTGGAAGTATCCATCGATGGTTAAGCAAGCCGATCTAACTGGACATACATCGCGTGTCTTGCAGATGGCCATGTCACCCGATGGCAGCACAGTGATAAGCGCTGGAGCTGATGAGACATTGCGGCTATGGAACTGCTTTGCACCCGATCCAATGGCAGCCAAAAAGGTGTCCACTGCCAGTAGCAATGTAAAGAAGAGTGTCTTTCGACAGAGCATACGTTAGGGATGCAAAGAAGACGAACTTCTAGGAGACGGTTAATGATGGATCCGAAGAGGAATTTCTTAGCAGAGCAAATGCTAGAGGCAGATTCTCTTCCAACAAAGAGCTGGCAGACTTGAAGACCTACTCACCCAACGATTCGAGACTAGATAAAACTATTTGTATTTCGATTAAGCTAGCAAACAAACAATATTAATTCAATTGTTATTTTTTAAGACTTTCATGCTAAGCCAATTCATATTTCATAATTATGTGACTTAGATATTTGATATGTGTGTATTTTGATGTATATTTAAGTTTTGTGCATTTTATTTTATGTTTGTAAATTGAAGATTGTACAGATGACATCAATGATTTGATTGCTGTTCATTCAATTATGTGACGACTATTTGATATATTTATTTAAATTGCATGTTCATGATTTATAAATAAAATGCTTGCCATACTGCAACCTTTTTTGTTTTATTCACTTATTTTGACAGGCTTACATGGTAAACAATATTTTTTTTCCTTTTTATTATATAATTAATCTTTTTGTATTGTGGGTACAGTTAGTTGCAGGTGTTTTTTATTTTTTAACTCCATTGATTTATTTTGTATTTTTTTGTTCGTCGCATGTGTGGAACGTGTCAAAAATATCTCGTGTCAGCATAGTTTGTTGCCTTTCTTCAGCAGCTGTTATTGGAATTATAGCGTTGCTAAATATATATATTTATACATATTTATGTACTATGGATCTGTTGTATATATGTATATGTACAATTAAAGTGATATTCAAGCGACTGTCATGGGATTGCCGCCACTGTAGCTGACAAAGTAACGCGGATCACCAAAGATCTGCAAAGAATAGATGACATCAAAAATATATGAAAAACATTTTTAAACATTAAAAATAAAATAAAAAAAAGAATAGTAAATTAAAAAATATGTTATAAATATAAATATAAAAAAATAATAATAATAAAATTACTAAATGAAAATTAGTTTGTTAAATAAGAAAAGTATACAATTTGTTTTATAAAAACTTTCTTTTTAAAATTTAAGCAATAAAAGTTGAAAAGCAAAACCAACAAAATAATTAACAAAACGCTATATAACCATGCATAGAAATTTATATATTTTAAATACTTACATATTCTTTCTTTTAAATTACTACCAATAATTTTATAAATCTTATTTCATTTTGGTTTTAGAATAAAATGTTTATTTGCAACATAATTCATTCAGTCAGAACATTGAAACATCAATTAGATTTTTAACTAACTTATGTTAAATGTAGTATATTGTAGTATATATTCTTTGCTACATTTTCATATAGATTTTGTTGTATATATTATTTGTATTTTTGCTATACTTTCTTTTATTTCTCCATACAAAAGGTTTAGAGCTAGAAAGAAACCGTACATTTGTTTAGATCTAGTTCTATTTGTAGTTCAAGTTCTAGCTCTATTTTGTTTTTTTAAAATATTTGTTAGAGCATACAGACATTCACACACGGACACTTACAAACACACATACACGCACACATAATACAGACAAAGAGAGACAGAGATATGTATAAAGAGTATAAGTGGGAGAGATAAAGCGTAATAAGCATTGAATTACATAGACAGCTTAAATTAGTTAACATTTTGATAGGGAAAGTACAACATAAATATCATAAGAACAGCTGATGGATAGTTCATTTTACATAGAGTATGTATATCATCTATCTATTTATATATGTATATATAAATGTATCTATATATTGTGTGTATTGCATTTTGTTCGTTATTTTGTTGGTTGTTTCTTACAGTGGGCAACTTTGTAGCTTTGACTGCTCTACTAAAACATAGAGCAGCTCTTATTTATGTATAAATATATCTATTTATTGTGTTTTTTTTTTTTTTACTATATGTAAAGTTATGCGGACGGCTATTTCTATTTTTGCTGCTGTTTTCTTTTCCAATTTCCACTTTTTGCAATTTTTTTTGGTCGGTTGGTTTAACAATAGATAAATGTTACAATACAATTCATCTTAATTTTTTCATTCAATTTTTTCTAGTTTCAACATTAGCTGAATACCAGTTCAGCTCTTTTAACAATTTTTTCTTGAACATTTGGAAGCTGTTGGTGGTGACCCTTATTTTTGACGTTTTCTTATGTTCTATGGGTTTCTCAATGATATTCTAGATTTTCTTTTTGTTTGTTTAGGCTGTGACGCTCACCTTCGTATCGTCTAGATCTTCGATATCGCTGCTATCGTAATCACTATCGGGCGGCGTTAATGTCTCTGCACCGCGTTTCTCCAATATGTTCTGCATGCGCGATTTATTCAATATGCTGGCCACCTGATATGCCGTTAGTCCAGCATATGTTGCTGTCTCTAGATTAAGTTTCTCGCATTCGTCCAGCAGAAAATTGGCCAAATCCTCGTTGCAGCACTCGATGGCAATGTGCAGAGGTGTGCGTCCGCCTTTGCCCTCCTAAAAAAACATAATTCAAATGCAGTTTTTTAATAAAAATCGGTTACTTTTATAAGACTTATGTTTATTACATTAAAAGCTAAATTATTCATTAGCGATATGCGCTGTTCAATTAAAGATCAGAGCGGAATAAATCAACCAGTTAACGCTCAAATGAACAATTAAACTTAACTTATCTCAGTTTCACTTACCCTGGCATTAATGTCCGCGCCGTGAGCTACCAAAATGCGTAAGATATCAATGTGTCCAGCG